GAAGAGGTTTACAAGTACTTTTCCTTCTCTGAAAAGACCAACAGAAGAGTGTCAACTGTGATTGGATTAAAATAAAAAACAAGGAATATTTTAAGTCCTAGGAACAACTATCCATAAACCACGTGGAAAGTCAGCTCTACTGGCATCAGTAAGAAAAGATAAAGGCTGAACTACGTTAAATAAGCAAAGCTTATAGCAGAGTTTGGAATTCTTTCAGAAAGCTAGAGCTTTGAATCTCAGGACACCATAAACTTACATTGGTGGTCCAAAAAGTACGAGACGTAAAGATTTCAAATAACTTGAAAGGAAAAACTACTGACTTGGCTGAATCAGAAATGTTGGGGTTTATTTTGACCTCTGTCCTTTCCTCTTTCTTTGACCTTGGTGATGTCACTTTGCTGCTAATCTCCTGTGCCACTTTGTGGAACACAACCATGGTGATGTTTAAAAAGCACTTTGCTAACTGGCATGAACACCCTCAGCAAAATCTTTCAATGCAGTGCAAATAACAAACATGTTTTGCTGAGACAGTCAAAAAAAAAATCAAATATGCTTTTGCTAGCTCTCCACAGTATTAGTTAATTTGCTTTATTCCTATAGCAATGCTGGCATATCTAACACTGACAGACAAACGGGACCAACTTTGTTATTTACAATACTTCACTAAAACCAACAGGACTGTCTCTTTTTGATCCTAAGCATTATATGCCAGGCACTTTTCTCTAGCCAGAAATAAGACTTGAATCACAGATGAGAGATAAAAGAAAGGGAAACTCTTAAGAGCTATTCTAAGTGCAGTGATGTTGATGGCAGTGGGCATTTCTAATTGCTCTACAGTCCAGCATTTAGATTATTTAGGTGCTTTCACGTTGGGAAAGGCCTACTAAGGATTCCATAGCATATGCTCAATGGCTCACCAATGTGAAGCTGAAGAAGGAAAGGCTGGAAATATCAGCACATGAAGAGAAGCAGCAGCAGCCACTGAGGATTCTGTCAGATTAGCAAGATTAATTTTCATATGGAATAACTTGAATCTCTTAAATCAAATGCCCAAAATAAAAAGAGAAATACTTATCTCCTCACACAGCAGAACCAAATGGTTTCATAAATTACCTTTTTTCTGACATATGAGTTGGTAATGCCATTGGAACACTTGTCTACCAGACTTAATGCCAGCTGAACTCAGACTCAAGAAAATAATTTCAGCATCTCTAAAACTAAATTACAGGTGTAGAATTTATTCTGTAAAGACCTTTCTGTAGTCACTTCCTGACTGCATCCCCAAAGCAATAAAACGGGCAGCCTGCAGAACCCCCAAGATTTACAATAAATCTTCCTCAAACAAACATGGTATTAAACATACAGAGCACTTTTCCTACACGCTAAATGTATTAGGATTAAATGTAAAGTTATGCAAATGTAAAGAAGAAAAAAAATGTTTAAAAATATAGAAAAAAAATCCTTCTTTTCATCAAAAAAGATGGATAACAGACAATTGATTTTGAGTGCTTTTTGATGAGGAGTATCTCAAGAAAGGAACACCTGCTGGAATCTTCAAATAATCACCTGAAGTTCAGTTCAGATGAACTAAAGTGAAGTTATCTCCTAAAGTAATCAAAACCCTATCTTTTTTATTCCACTACCAGAAATGTTGACAACTATTCTGAGTGTTGTTTTGGTACATAATATCTGAATCCACCAAGCTGCAATAGTTTAAATAAAAAAGGATGTTTTTTCCAAATCCTTATATAATGGAGTAATTTCTCAGACTTGCATTAGGGTGCCCACTTGATAAGTTCAAAATGTAATGTGACCTGCTTAAAAGATTCATCATGAAGTACTGTCCTTATGCATTCTGTGTCTGCCTAAATATAAGCAGACATCTGACAACAAGGCATTCTCTGATTTTCTTCTGTTTTAGTAGAAAAATTGCTTTTAAACAAGGCAAGTATGCTCTTTCCCACTGCCCCATCTTGTTCTCTACCTCCCAAATTAACTCATCCTGCAGTTTCAGATGCACTGTGTACATCCCAGCTGGTGCTTGAAGGCACGATGAGATGTACAAGAATCACAACCTATTACTTAACGCAGGCAGTACCAATCAATAGATCAATATAGCTGATGCTCCCATGACAGCTCTGCAGCGCCTATAGACGTTTAGTACATGTAAGAAATGCATCTGCAAGAATCCTTTCCAAGCTCTTGCAAGCAGAAACTCTTTCCTCACCATAGACACATCACTGCCTGTCACCTAGTGGGTGGTAGCTTGTGCAAAGGAAATGCTACAAGCTTGTAATTCTATAGGCGCAAAGCCAACGAGATAACCTGCTCTCCATTATCCATGGTAATTAAGAAAACTAAGTTCATCAGAAAAACAGACAAAATGCAAGCTATATATTAAGCAGCATGCAATAATATACTCAGTCCAGTAATCTTTACAAAACTAGTATAAAGCTTTCCACAGGAAACAGAGCAGAGAAATTTCTAAGATGCTTATTTTATGTAAGAGAAAAGGGATTTCAGCAATGCAGTGACAGAGTAATCAAGAAAGACATTACTTAGGCAGCTCAAAGTTTTTCATCCTACAATCCCTTATCACCACAAAAAAGCTCCACCATTGTAATAATCTAGTATTTATGATGTTTGCTCTGTAGATACACTCAGAAAGTAACGTGTATTTAAAATGTTTAAAATAGCATATATTTTAAATTTCTCTTCAACCACACAGCACAGAATGAGGAACTTCATTTTGTTTAATAAACAGCTGTTGCAGTATGTCAAGCCCATGCCCGAGGCAACTAATTTATCGAATTTCAAGAGAAAAACAAACCAATAATTTTTCCTTAAAATATCTTAAGTCCTTTCCTCCAGTACCAGCTCCTACATTCATTTAGTTTCCCAAATGTAATACTGCTTGCTCCAGCCTTATCTGGGATAGAATTTTCCTATATCCATAATTCCTCTACTAGATCTGATGCTGTCTTGGTCACAACTGCCATGTAAATTCTCTATCTTTCCCCTTCAAACACAGAACATCTCTTAATCCTTTCAGAGGCATTCTCACTCATTCTTCCCCTTTCTTTACTATTGCTTCCTCCCAAATGATGGAAATTATAGTAATACATTTAGCAACTTCTCACTGATCATTTACAGTGCAGCACAATTAGACTCTGCTGATTCATTGTGACAAGAGACATTTACTCTTGCTGCTGACAATCCACATGTTTTCTAGCATCCATATCTGTCTGGATGGCAACACTGTGCACTGGGTGTCCCTCTGGCTGGCCTAGTTCTCTTGCTGAAGCTTTTCCTTTTTACAACTAGAAGTCTCTGGTCTGAATAAAACAGTGAAGTACTAGAAGCTAACAGTTTTTTATCATATAAATAACTTTCATTCTAAACCTCAAAAATGTTCAACTAGCACTTAGCAAGGAAATCTCAATGGCCTGTTAGCAAAATAAGCAAGTAAATAGTTTCTTAGGTAAGGAGGAAATGCACAGCACTGAAAGGCAATTATTTCTCATTCACAGATGCAGCCAGTCATTCATTAAGTCATGCAGCAATCATTCCTTAATTTTACAACATTTATTAACATGCCCATATATTTGCCATCTGTAAGGGAAGGGTTCAGACCTTCAGGAAATCTTTATTGACATTAAGACTGCCTTACTCTAACAAAATGGGAAACTTTGTTCCTATAAGAACAATACTGTAGAAACTAACTTGAAGGCTCTTAAAGTTCCTATTTTTCCACTAACAAAAACTAATAATCTTTTTTTTTATTCTTCCACAACCAACTAAGTAAATTCACGGCCACAATATCTGAGGCCAAAAAAACATAGCAAGATACTGCAAGGCCTGGAAATTTACAGCATTGCAATGGTTAATCCTAGTGAATCGATTTAAGATATTAAAATTCCCATCTATCAGACCTCTTTGCTAATGTCCCTGCCCTCAAAGCAAAAGGGAACATATGCCTGCATCCCAGCCACCCAGTTCATAGAGCTTCTTATTAACTCAAGCCATAAATGACAATGAGTCCATCTAACACACCAATCTAAACCACCACATCTAACATGCAGGTCTGTGTTTGCTCTTGCCATCTAGACACAGACAGGCAGAGAGAAAGGTTAAACAGCTGCATACAGGCATCAGGAAAGAAAACTATGATCTTTAAACCACTGCATCACTTTGCTCCCACACTCATAAATAATGTTCTATGTGAGTGTTTGACTTTGAAAAGTTAAAAGTTTGTGAAAAGAGACACACTATGAGAACAGCACCCAAACAACACACAGCAATGCTGTCAGTGTTACGGAGCAGCTGAAATCACCATGATTTCCACAATTCTAACTACCAAAGTTCAGTTCCCCTTGCCCTCTAACAGGCGAGCTGTATCATGTAAAGCATCACAAATATCAGCTGAAGTCCTGGGTGTACAAGGACATTTTATTCATATGAGTTAATGTTTCTGTCACCACCAGCTCTTCAATGGATAAAGAGAAGATCCAATTCAGCTGGGATGGGTTAAATCTCCCATAAGGAAAACAGGCTTGCCTCTCATCTATACACCCAAATCTAGCAAGTATAATGAAAGCCTAGGAGCATTTATCCTTACAAAGAAGCACTTTTTCTTTCAAAAAGTGGAAGAATAATACACATTCTAAGTTCAATAAGGCTTTCTAACACACAGAAGTCTGCTGAAATGCCAATAAAACCTAGACACTATATGAATATGAACTAGTAGCAAAGCATGGTTCATTCACAGTTGCTTTTGCATCCGATTATTTAAGTTGCTTCTACAGATTGAAAACATTTACACAGGAAAGCATGTTTCCTGTGATCTGTAGCACCATACTGTATAAAAATAAAACCCTTCTGGGATTGAATTAGAGGATACAGTGGTTCACTAAATTAACATTACTCCCCTCTTTTCTTTGTATGATTTTTTCCCCAAAACCATATCCCAAAACCCTAACTGTTCACTGTGTAGCACTTACTGTTGCTGGACTTGAGGTCACGGTGAATTATGGGAACAATTGCTTCCTCATGCAGGTAGTTCATTCCCCTGGCAATCTGCACTGCCCAGTTCACCAGTATGTCAGGAGGTATCCTTTTACCAGACAGCACCCTATTGAGCGATCCTCCGCGGGCAAACTCCATGATCAGGCAAAGATTAGGTTCCTTCAAACACACGCCTCTGAGGGCAATGATGTTGGGATGTTTTAACATTGCAAAGAGCTTGGCCTCTTGGCGGACATTCTCAATGGTCTGGCTGATGTCCTCATCAGGGTCATAGCGAGCTGCCTTGACAGCAACCTCATCTCCTATCCATATAGCTCGATACACTTTTCCGAAGCCCCCTATGCCAATGATTTCTTCCAGAACAAGCTCTGAGAAGTCGATCTCTAGGACTAGGGAAAGAGGAAAAAAAAGATATAAGCATTCAGCAACTATGCAGTCTGTACATCACTCCATGCTGGCCAACCTCACCCCTGCCCTTGGAGGAAGGGCCAATTTTCAGTCCAAAACACTACAAAGGAAAGCAGTGGGCCTTTCTGACAACCTTTCAGTGCCGAACAGTATTATGACACTGCCGAACAGACCTTGCGGTGTCATAAAACTGGCATGAAGTACTCACTGTAAGTGGTAAAATAACAGAATAGCCTTCTCTTACCACAGTTAAACCCTTATAATACTGATGCCCCTGCCCCTACCCCTCTTAAGGATAAACTCTTAGTGACAGCACCACATTCTGAAAATGAAAAACACACTCACCAACTAATCTTCACTGTGTTCACAATACAGTGCTTAATGTAAAATAGCTAAAACTCAACACAAAATGCATCTGCTTCTCCATTTGTCCCTTATTTAAACGTCTCTTGTTGAACTGCCACAGCAATCTTTTAGCTCTTCCCAAATCACACTTATTCTTCCACACCTCTCCAGGCTTTGCAGATTTGTTCCCCACAAGAGATCTGTTAACCAATTCTGACATTACCAACAACAGTGTGACAAACAGATGGATCAAACCACATACTGAGTGTACAGAGCAAGCAATAAGAAAAACATTTCTTGATTAATGCATACTGCATTTTTGTTATAAAAACTTCCTATTCCCATACACTGACAGCTATACTTAACAGGCTGACACAAAAAAAATCTACAGCTGCAGCTGTCTCAATTCAGCACACAAACTGCACCTGGAGCAAAAGCAATGAGAAAATTATCCTGTACAACTGTACACTAAACACAGTTTATACAGGTGGCCAAAAGAACCCAACCAACACTGACTAATGTAGAAAGAAAATTCCACATACTAACCAATGAAAACATGTTGACACAACTTAATTTACAGCAGTGGAAGGCTACTATTGATGCTACTCTGTATGACATTTGCATGGTTATCAATTACAGTCAATGACATTTTAAAAAGTTTTCAAGATAGAGTACCATAATGCAAGATTTGAGCAAAAAGTCACCAAGTCTTTTCATATTTTCCTGCATTTGAAATGCCAAATTTAACATGGTTTCCCTACTTTGTCTAGTACAAAGGAAATTAAGTATGTAAGGGAGCAGGTTAGATCCCACTTAAATAAACTAGTCTCCTTACTCCAATCAAATGCCTTTCCTATGTATAAGCCTACAGCACAAGACTTTGTCACAAAACTGTACAGAGTTAATAAAACTCTTCTATCCACAGCTGTAGGCTTTTTTTTTTGTCTGAGCTCTACCTTTCCTGAACATGATTTTTAGAAGTTGGCTTACTTTTTTAAGTTAGTCAAACCTACGAGTTAGTTTAATAAAGATGCCTTTGCTGTTTTTCCTAGTGTTCCATGAACAAAAGGCTAACAGGAAACAAGATAGAAAACTGACCAAGAAAGTCTGCCAGAAGGAGAAAAGGTCTCTTCCAGTTCAGAACACAAAAAGAATCTACTTTTTTTCTACTGTGAATACATATTTTGGGTAACACTCTGAGCTTCAAGGATTTGCACAACAAAGAAGATTGCAGTGCTACAGTAGCAACCTTGGTACTCAAATGCTTGAGACAGAGACTACTAGAAAGCATGAAAGGAGTAGATTCTGATCAGAAACACTGAAATTTTAGAACAAGACTGTAATGACAATAAGTCCAGATGTGAGACTACTCTGTCACTGAGAATACACCAAGAGTCACTCTTTTATTTCTCACTAGTAAAAGACCTAAAGAAATCAGATGTTGAGTCCTATCTCTTCAGTCAATAGAATTGCAGCACTGCTAGAATCCTCACTTAACCTGTTCCTAGGGACAAGGTCAGTTAAAAGACTGGAAATGAACAAACACGCACCCCACACCACCAGGGTGATCTCCTGCCCTGCCAGCTCCGGACAGACAGCGTTCAGGTGCTCTTCACAGCGGGCACTGCTCGGGCATTTCACGGATTAAGAGGCCGTCAAGGAGGCGCCGAGCGAGCCGCCCGCCGGCCCGCAGGTGCTGAAGGGACAGCTCCGGCGGCAGCGGGCACGGGACGGGGACGGGACGGGGACGGGACAGCCCCGCGGGCAGCGCCCCGGCCTTCCCCTCCACACAACCCCTTCCCCCCATCCGCCCCGATGCTGGGGAGAAGCGCGACAGGAAGGTGGCAGGCAGGAGAACAAGATGGGCAAAGGAAACCGAAGGGCTGGAAAGTAGAACACTTCGTGTGCCGCCACCCATTTTCCATGAGAAAAAGCACATCCCTGCTGGAGGCGCAAATTAATAGGGGTGGGAAGTAAAACCGAGAGACTCCAGCTTCCACATGAAATCTAATGCATGACATTGAATGTTCTTTTATCTGGAAGTACGACCTTAGTTTAGTTTGAAACTGTGTACTTCTATAAGGCAAATTGGTCAGCTTACCCTGTTGGGTAGCTTATTCATAAAAACACCCTGATTTTTAAAAAATGTTTTGTTTAGGATTTTTAAAGGTATTTTCTGCTGAATTAGTTTATTCATTTTCACAGTTTGAGTTATACATGTACATTAGGACACAAAATACTTGTTTTTTGTCACATTTCTAAACACACTAACTCCAGTGTCATTTGGCAGATGTGTTGTATAGGACTGTACAGAATTCAAGAAGTGAATGCCCTCATTCCTCTGTGGGCTGGTAAGGAATTACAGAGCCTGTATGCCATGAACCAGTGGCCATGTTGACAACTGCAAAGTAGGTGCTGTTTAATCAGCCCTTATTAGACCACATGATTAAACTGTTTAATTCAGTCTTAAGTATTTAAGAACCCACAGCACAGATGAGAGTCCCTCAAGTTGGCCCCCTTCTGAGAGCTGCTACGGGCTACTTTTTATCATTCATGGTATCCTCACCAAGGCAAGATTCAAGCACACTACATGGATGGCTAAAATTACCAGCTAAACTAGGACAGCTCTCAGTAGAAACAGAATCTCTAGGATTTATACTCCCAAATTTTCATTAAATATATGGATAAACTTTAGGAAAGCAAGTAAAAATAGGTTCTGTGCTGAGGTGCATGTCCAGAACGACACTTTGCATCACTCCTGCAAAACTGGACTTACTGGACTATGAAGAATTAAACAGTAGATGGTGATTCCTATTCCAAACAGCTATTAAGCTAACATCATCAGCTCTAAAAGTGGATTGCATTCCATGCAAAGGATTTCAATACTCAACTTGAAAATCCAATTCAGTGGCAACCAACTTGAACCCCTGTCCAAACCACACTGTTTTTTTAAAAATGCCCCATACTCCTTAAGCATTACACAAACCTCTGGAGGACAAGAAATTCTACACTGTCATGAACATATGGCTGGTGACTTGACAGAAGAGAAGTAGCGTAGTTCTGTAGGGGCATGGGAAGAGTAAGGCAAAGACGAAGGGGGAAGGTACAACTCCTCAACTGTTGGTGAGCTATCAAACCATAGAAGAGGCAGCAAGACAGGAGAATCTAGTTACAAAGCCTGAACTTGAATACTCAACACAGGATAGGAGCTGAGGGTTCGAAAAGTTGTATAGAAATGGTTCTAAGTATCTCTCAAAAGCAAAACCTAATAAGCATTCATTCACAGTTTTTTCTGTGTGTGGGGAAAAAATAACTTACCAGTGCTCTTGCAGCATGAAAGAAAGGAACAGCACCTAGTCCTTTCACAAGCCCAAGGGCAATGCTACAAATTTTACCTAAATGCTTTCAAGCAGAATACAAAGTAAGAAAAAAAAGCTATTAGTTGTACTCCTTGGAGATACAGCCTAGATAGGACAAAGCATCTTTTCACTCTTTTACTTTCTAGAAAAGCCTACTAGTCTGAAGATCTTTCTCTGCCCCTCCAAAAAAAAGCATCCTTGCCTGAATTGTCAATGGTGACAGATAAACAGGATCTAGAAAGTCATTCCACGTTGTTTCTCTTTCCACAATTGCACATAGTGACTAAAAAAAAAGTCGAGATGAAACAGCCCTATTCTCTGTCTCCAACAAAGGCTTCAAAACTGCACCAAAATTCAGGGAAACAAACCAATGTCTCAGTGCCTTCAGCATCAAAAGTGACCCTCAGGCAGGCCCAGATACCCAAACGTGGATACAATTCATTCACAGGTATTTCAGGACAGAACTAGTAAGAGGGCAGAGGAACCTGGTAACACAAGTCAACTTAGGAATTTTTCAGTCAGAAATTAAAAGCTTTTGGTTAGTAAGTAGGATAACACTGAACAAGTATTAGCAGCAAAACAACACTTCAGAAAACAACTGCTTCCCTCCCAGCAACCTTTCTCTAAGAATATTCTTAAAGGCAGAATGACCAGAGCCCTGGTGACTCCACCAGTGCCCAGCCGCCAGGATTTTGTCGCTTGATGAAAATTTACCAGCCCCTGGAAACACAGGTCTTAACAATGGGAAACTGTTCCCGGCGTCGCCGAAACGCTAACACACCGAGCCAAGCTCTGCCTTCCAGGGAGCGGCGCGCCAGCCTGGAAGACAGAAGGGCACTGGAGCAGCAGGAATACCTCCGCGGGTGGGAAAGAGAACACACCGGGGGCCTGGGGCTGCCCCAGGGCTGGGGGGCTGAGACGCCGTAGCCCCTCCGCTCGCCGCCGAAGGCCATCGCAGGCCCCCCCAGCCCGCCGCCGGCTGGGCCCGCGGCCTCCCACGGCCGCTCGCCACCGGGATGGGCCTTCCCTTCCCCCTCAGCGGCGGCACCGGCTTCCAACAGGACCCACGGAAGGGCCGGGCCAGGCCCCTCGCCAGGGACATCGGGAAGGCCGAACCTCAGCTCTCGCCACAAGCTCGGCAGTTCCGCCGGTCTCTTCCCCTCTCCCATACCCACCCCAAGCTTGCGATAGGGGGGCAGGACCGGGCCTCTCCCCTGGCTCCCTCCCTCTCGGCGGAGGGGCCGCGCCGAGCCCCCCGCCCGGGCCCGGGCTCCCTTACGCTGTATGGCGGGGGGCGGCGGGTATCGGGCGCGCAGCTCCGGGCCGCCCCCCTGCACGCCGCTGCTCACGTAGTTGCTGGGGAAGATGCCGACGCGCTGGTCGATCTTGCCCGTCCACCAGCCCTCGTCGCCGGACACGTGCGAGTCCCGGGACAGCACCTGCACCACGTCCCCCGGCCGCAGGCTCAGCTCGTCCTCCCCGCACGCCTCGTATTCGAAGACAGCGGTCCAGAGCGGCCCGTCGCCCGGCGGCTCCCCGCCGCCCGCGCCCTCCTGGCTGAGCTCGGTGAGGGGCTCCATGGCGAGGCTGCTCCATAGGGGGAGGCGCCCGCGGCAGCCGGGCGCTGCGGGGGGCGGCGGGGCCGGGACCGCCGCCTATTGTTCATGCGGCCCGGCGCCCGCCGGCACCAGGTGCCGCTGCCGGGACTTCCCGGCGCGGGGCCGCCTCAGCCTAGCGCGGGCAGGGGCGAGACCAGGCAGCGTGTGTCGTGGAGGAGCCGCCGCATCCCCCCCATCCGCCGCCTCCTCCGTGCCCGCCTCCGCCTCCTGCCGCCGCCGCACATCCCGGAGCCACCTGACTCTCTGGCAGCTTCGGCGGCGCGAGGGGTGGGCAGGGCAGGCCCCGCCCCCGCGCCGCCATTGGCCGCCGCCGCCGCCCGTCAGCTCCGCCCTCACCTGATTGAGGGCCCGCGCCCCCTGGGCCACGCCCCTCCCCGCCCGGCCCCCGGCCCCGGAGTCGCGCACTCACCGGTGCGCCCCCGATTGGCCCCCGCACGGTCAGCTCTCGCTTCCTATTGGGTCGAGCGCTCCGAGCTCCGCCTTCCCCGGCGCGTCTCATTGGCTGGGAAGAGGGGCATGACACGGGCCAAGGGCGGGGTGGGGCGGCCCGAGGGCGGAGCGGGCAGGCGCCACCTGGTGGCGGGCGGAGGCGGCGCACACCTGGGCCGGCCCTCGCCGCCCCGGGCTCGGTGTCCTCCCCGCCGGGCACCGCCCCTGCCACACCGGGACCGTCACTGCCCCGCCGGGCATCGCCACTGCCCCCCGGGGACAGCCACTGCCACACCGGGACCGCCACTGCCCCTCGGGCATCGCCACTTCCCCGCCGGGCATCGCCACTGCCCCGCCGGGACTGCCACTACCACACCGGGACCGCCACTGCCCCGCGGGCCCGGGGCGCGGGCTCGGGCCGGACACCCAATTTAATCCTCATTTGAATTCCAGTGGCAAAACTGGAAATGAAAATTCTCTGTTCATGCTTCATCATAACAAAGCCCACTGATGCCAAAGGAGAAGCCCAAGTACCGTGACCACATCTGATGTCTTCACACTTATACATAAAATGCAGGGCTTCATTATTCTTTATTGTTTGCTAAATGCAAATACACAATTCTTCTCTGCAAGACAGATTGTTAAAAAATTCTCCATCCCCGAGTGAGACCTTCGGTTTGGTTTATGTACAGAGTAGCTCCTAGTAATTCTTAAATTTTGTGCATTGTGGTTTTGTCTATTTATCTATCCTTGCATTAGCATTGTGCTGTAGTACCTTTATAGGGAGCCCCAGGGTTTAGGCTTTTAATAGAATGATGAAGATCTTAAACGTAACATGCTCTGAGTTCATTCAAAATCCTTATCACTGTTTGTAAAATATTTGAATTTACTTACATTTACTCTGGGAATACACCCCCTCTCAACTGAACCTTAGTAACAAGTATTGCAGAGAACCCTACTGGGATCTACAATTATTCTATTTTCTCTCTTCCCCAAACTTCAGAGCCTTTATTTCTCACAGAAGCCAAACAAACATGGTCTAGAAAGAGCTGGTATATTAGTATCCTTATTTTAGAAATAGAGACCAAAACATGTCAAATTGAGGTCAGAACTAACATTTCACTGTGATGCATGCAAGATTTAGGCATGCTTCAGCACAAATTTTCAATTGAATTTGTCTAAGAACTGAGCTTTGGGTTTTCTCCTCTCTCTCCACTGCCTCTTGTCAGTGAGGGCAGAACTGAGGATGCATCCTCTCCACTATTCCTTTGTTACTTAAGGGTGTGTTTTCACAATTAGTGTAAGCTTATCCAATACTACTCTGTTGCTGAAAGGGACTTTCCTGCCCCTTGTCACATGCTTGACCTGCTTTCCTGATTGCAACACTAGTGACTGTGGCTGTGGAGTCATTTCAGCTCATTTATCTAGCTGAAAGCTAAGCCTCTGAGTAAAAGCAGCTAGTTTTCAATCAGCTTTTTAGGTTGATCTGACTTGCATTAGGGCTGTACACACAGACATTAAAGCCGGCACAAGGAAGCAGGGCAGGTGAAAGGGACAGCCACCTGGCTTTTTCAGGAACATCCATCTTTAGGTTACCTTGTCTTGATCATGAAGACAAGGGGTAACAAATAGCTGTATTCATGGGTTTGGAGTTCAAATAATAGATTACTGAGATGGAATGTGAAAGACTGCTGTTAATGTTCCTAATTAAAGTAATTGCAGTTGCATGCAATAATTTTCTGTCTAATTTTATGTAGAAAAAAATTATTTATTCAATTCACACAAGAAATTATAATTATAGAAATTACAATACTTTACATTAATATGGCACTTTAAATATGGTAATACAAAAAATGTAAGACGTAAGAAAATAGAGGCCTCTTGTCTTTCAGCTGCTTGCCACTTATTTTGATCACTGCTGTAGAGCACTGATAAGTTTAAAGTAGATAGTGATATTACTGATGGTGAAAACTATGACAGGAAAAAAATTGCTGCTGTAGAGGCTCAGGTTGCCTGCTGTAGTGACCTGCCAAGACAGAACCCTGCCATCTTGTGGAATGCCTTGATATCAAAGTACACAGCTTTGCTTCTCAAAAGACACCTCTTTTTTTTTTTTTTTTTTTTTCTCTCTCTTTTTTTTTCCCCCTTTTCTTTATTTTTTATTTCCCATGATTATATGTTTGTTTCTGCACAAGTGGTGTGACTGGCTCAGGAAGCCGTTTGTGCCTGGAGTGTCCAGGGAAGTACTCTGAAGAGCCATCATAGGATTTTCCCACTCTCATAGACTTCTCTTGGCATCTTTTACCAGCCATGTCAGAAACTGGTTTCTGAATTAAAAGATCTGGCCAGATTGGGTAGGCTGTTCTTAACATCAAGGTAAATAGAACTGTCAGTAAATGTTAAATTCATATTCCAGTAACTGGCAAAAGGCAGATGCAAAGAACGTTAAAGACTGTCTGCATGCAGTCTCTGAAAGATGACATTTTAGCATTGGCAAGATACAGACAGATTTTTAAAATGGTGCCTGCCTTTCTGATGAACATATCGCCCAAATGCTACATTGAAAGTTTTTTCTTATGCATTTCCTAATAAGACTGTATCTGTTCCCATTATTATGCAGCAGATCTGAATAATGGGAATTAGATTCTGGGTATAACAGATCCAGTTCCTAAAGTCTGTGCTTGAATACAGACTCTGCTTCCTAAAATTTTTTTATGTTAAGATTTTGTTCTGTGTTTCAAAAGAACAGTCTAACCTGCAAAATGCAGATGATACTCTGCATTTAGTTCAAACTTTCTTCAAACTGAGAACTTTGAACCAAAGCTTTTAATTCAAGTTCATTTTTGCATCTACATTTTAAAAGTACCAACAAATTCTTAGATGGTAAACAAAAAGGCCAGTCTATTCCCAGTCTTTGTTTTAAGAAGCAATGGAAAGTATTCTGCTTATTCAGTATCATTATTAATACAAATTTAGGATTATGAATCTCAGCTTTTGTCCTGTGTTTTCTAGAGGCTTGTGTAGACCAGCAATGAACTTAGCAGCTCTATAACTTATTAAAACTTGGCAGTCCATAGTTACAAATCTAACTGGATATCAAAATGTTGGCAGTCTAGGCTCCAAGTATCTGAGTTCTGTAAAGGAAAAAAAAAACAACCAGAATGGTATTAAAAAACAAAAGGAAGAGGAATATCCAGAAAAAAAAAAGGAGAGACTGTGGGCACAGTCCAACTACACTGCAGTACTAGAAACATACTGTAATTCCAACTATAGCTACAATGACAGCACGTCTCTACCAGCACAATAAGAAAGTATAAAAGATTAAGGAGATGCCCCTTGGCACATCTTATTGCAGCTCACTCCTTTAACATCCTGTGGTAATTTATATTGCATATTAAATTCATACAGCACTCTCATTTGGCTTTTATACATTTCAGAGGACATACCACAGATCTGTTCCATGCCTATATCCCCAGATATAGCCACATATACCAGTCTGGAGATTAATCTCACTCCAGTAGCCAGATTTGTTTGATCAATTGCTGACAATTTCTACTCAAACTATGTAAGCTTTACTGACAAATGGATTTTGTTATCATTAAAAATTGCCTCTCTACATGGCTGTAAAGCTAGACTGGGTTTTTTCCCCCACTTTAGAACAGTACTGCTTTTCCTACATCACTTTAGTGTAGGTTTGTTCTTGACTTGATGAGGGGGAGAGGGGTAAGCCACTGGCAACAGAAGCTTTATGAACTGTGCTGTGCTAGCTAGGAGGCAGGCTGCAAATCTGGGTCTTGAGCATCTGAGTCAGTAAAGAGAGAGCTCTACTCTGCTTCATAAAATATATATGCTAATCTCCCAGATGGCTATATGTTCTTTCTCCATAAAACAGATGACCTGTAAAAATAAAAGATAAAAACACTGGAGAGTGGGAATTCTGGGCCAAAATCTGGAAACTTGCAGTAGATTTTACAGACAGACTTGGATTTTAAATTTAGTTTGGATCTGGTTTCATAACAAAATAGAGCAATGGCTATTATAGGTCACAGCATAATTTCACATGCAACATGAATCATTCATACATCTGCATCCCTCTAAGAAAAATGTAGCAAAGAAACACTTTCAAGTGAGATTTCTGTCTGCACTAGAAGATATACACCTAACAGAAATAATGGTTAACTTTGGCTTAGTAATGATTAACATTTGCACACTGTGTATCACCTCAATCCAAGCCACACATACAGCTCTTGTTTGATTAGTCATAGATTGAGTTGCTGCTCCTGTAAGGGAATATCAGAACCATGCTGCCACACTGGCAACATTGTGCCACAGTTTCGCAAATGTGTGGAACAAATATTTAACTTATTTGCAGAACTGTGATTAGCGCAATGCAAGTGCTCTCACCAGAGTTCAGGAGAGATGCTACAGAAAACTTTTCAGGCTTCTGAAATCTTTATAGGTGTTGATAGCCTTGATCTTTGTTTTCATGTTTCATGTGAAAAATAAAGCAGCAGCAGACTACCCTGCAGTGTCACGGCCAGCATATGGTGCAGCACTCACTCAGAGCACCCTGCACTGCCTCTGGCACCTCGTCTCCCATTCAAGGCCTTCTGCCCATGCAACGACCAAGTCTCCTTGTTTGTGAGGGCAAGTGAGATTTTGTTTGGAAATAACAAATCCAAGAAGGTAAACAAGGTATTTTGTTTCGTTTTTAAGTTTGTCAAACAAAGCCTTTGGGA